GTAGGGCGGGGGGGGCGCTGCCGGTTGGTCCCGCAGCACCGCTCCTTGGTGCTACTGGACCAACCCGGCAGCCCCCCAGCTGCTCTGCCCCAGGTGTCCTGATTCAGCTGCTGTTGAAACTGACCAGCGGTGGCTGAATCAGGACGCCTGGCGCAGAGCAGCTTGGGTGCTGCTGGGTTGGTCCAGTAGCGGCTGAATCTGGACGCCAGTTCCGACTTACATACAGATTCAACTTAAGAACAAACCTACAGTCCCTATCTTGTACGTAACCCGGGGACTGCCTGTATATATAAATGCCACAATGTGTTCTGTTTCCACAAGGTAAACACTTGTAAGTTAAGTACGGAGGTAACTCTATCTAAATTAGGACAGAAAATATCAATGGAAAACTCAGGTGAAGTTGGTAATTTAGTTGGAAGCATAAGTGCTCACCTGCATGGAAAGCCAGGGCATCACCACGGCACACCAACCTGCTATTCTGTAATGTGCCCATGTTGGCATTGTTGTAGCATAGTGAAAGTTCTGGAGTTCATCCTGGCTTGTAACTACAGTTAGCCAAGTCACAGTCTAGGATTTTTGATTAGCTAACTAACTATGCTTTCAGTGCAGGATGTTGTTGCATGGCAGGTTGATGTGCCACAGATTCACATCCTGGCTTGCGGTGTAGTAGGGATGTGAATAGGTAACCCTCTTTCCTCTCTCCCCACTCCCTCCAGCTGCTGTTCTCAGCCCCGCGTGGGCTGGCAGACAGCAGTCCAGTGTGGGTTCAGAAGCAGCAGGGCTGGAGCAGCCCCTGTTCATGGTGAGGGGACTGCTCCAGCCTGCCTCATTTAATCCATTAACGGTTGTTAACTGGTTAAACTTGGCATTTAACTGGTTAACTAATTCAATGGGATTTTACGTCCCTACTGCATGCTAACTTGATGTATAGAAAAGCCAGGCAGCTAAACCAGTTTCCCATGCTGGTATTCACAGGATACTGTTATGAGGTACCACCTTCTGGAAGAGATATTGAAGTCCTTATGACTTTTTGCAAGACTGTCGACCCAAATATTCCAAGCCAATTTCCATTTTAGATCATTTAATTTATCTACAGACGTCTTTCTGCAGTTGTAATTAGATGCATTGGACAGTTTTTCCATGAATTATTTTATAGTGACAGTCTGTATAGCTAAACTGATGATACGTGGGATGGTACTTGGTCCTGCTGTGTGGGCAGGGGACTGGACTCGATGACCTCTCAAAGCTCCTTCCAGTTCTATGAGATGATATATCTCCATATATTATACTACATTTCTGTTCAATAGTGGGTGAAGCATTTCGTTATGGTGTTTAGCTTTTTTTAAAAATGATTTCAGATTTCTGCTGAAAGAGCTGGATAAATGTATGATACACTATTTTAATTAATATGCATGAAAAGAATTAATTTCTAGTTCATGAAAACTTGAAATGGAATAGAAAGTTGAATTATAAGAATAAATCTATGTAATGTTTCTCTTCTACATAGCAAATTAATTTTTCCATTATTAACAAAACAATGGATTCCAAATTGTGAAACTATGACAAAAATACTTTTTGTGTAGTGAGTTGGTTTAACAGAATGTATAATATTTAGTAGCCTTTATTAAGTGTATAAGCTCAAGTATAAGGAAAAGAATCTTCATTATCAACATTGTTAGTTTAAAACTGTTCTAAATATGCATAGAAACAAGCACAGTGGTTAGTTACCTAAATGTCCACTGTATTTGGTAAAATTGTGTGTAATCAGCTAATTGAGCAGTCAGTGGAATTTCCTGAATTTGAATAATGAATATGCAAACATGCAAATAAAATGTTACCCGTCCGCCAAAAGTTTGGTGGTCTGTGGTCTAAAACTCCTGGCCCCTAGAGCCCCCCCAGTGCCAGCCCTAACCTCCAGAGCTCCCCACACCTCCACTACTCCCCCACGCCAGCCGCTGACCTCAGAGCCCGCTGTACCCAACTCCCCTAGTGCTAGTCCCCCATCCCAAATGCTTCAGTGCCAGCCCTCCACCTCTTAGAACCCCCCACCAAACAACCCAGTTCCAGCCTCCTGTTTTTAGAGCCCCACTGTACTTAACCCCTCCAGTGACAGCTGTGCCCCCAAAGTCCTCTCACTACTAACCCTGCCCTCAGAGCCCCTCAGTGCCAGCTCCCCACCAGAACACCTCAATTCCCCCCTGTCAGACCCCCTGCCTTTTAGCACCCGCCCTCCTTAGAGCTCCCCAGTACTAGTCCTGCCCTAGAGCCCCCCAGTATTAGCTTCGCCCCCAAACCCTCCCAGTGCCTTCCCTATCCCTCCTTACCTAGCCCTGCGCTATCTCCCAGCTGCCAGCTGAGCGCTGCTACCCAGGTTGTGGCTGCTCTAAGGCTGACATGCCAGGCTCCGCACTGCCCTTTTGCCATGCAGCAGACTACTCTTCCATGGCTAGGAGGAGACCCTGCCCCTGCCGGGACTTGTTGGCTGAGAGATGGGGCTGCACCAGGAGAGGAGGTGCTGCGCGGTATATCCCAGCCCTCGCCCCCAAAGCTGCTGTGGCCTGCCAGCCACCGGTCTGTAGCCCAGCAGTTGGGAACCACTGCACTGGCTCACCTAAGTGAGGGTTCTGTTCTACAAATGTATTTTATTGTATTTTTTTTAAGAAGACAGTGATAGCATTTTCCTGATATGGGTTAATATTTTGGGGATACTAAAAGGCCCGGATTATTTGTAGTTGATTTTTATTTTAAGAGAAAAGGAGATACAGGTAGATTTGGAAGCATTTTTAAGGGACAGAGATAAGGGACTGTGTTCAGTACAGCAGATGCAGTAAATCCCAGTCTTTTTTATAGTAGGTAGGTGCTTTTCATTTTCTCAGCTGCTAACCACTTGTGCTCTACACAGGAGTTGGCTGCTTTCCTTACTAATGGCAGCAGTCTCTTCTTACACTAAGTTTGGGTCAGACTGACATTAACACTGTCCAACTTGATTGAAGCTATCAGGGGAAGAGGGATGGCAGGGCTGGTAAAGGGAAGAGTATTTCTGCTTACATTGTAGCAAGAAGCTAGATTCTTGGTGCTAACTGCTTGGTGCTGAAAATTACCAAGACAGATCTCCATAGAAAAGCATTGCATTTTTCAGCTACTGTGTACTTTCATTATTTTTTAAAAGAGGCCATTAATGTTGAAAAGTAGCTGGTTGTACATAAGCAGTTTAGATAGTTTTGGGAAGGAAAAGTTTTTTAAAAATTATATGAAATATATTAAATTAAATGTATTGTTGTAAATATGGGATTTCTTTGCTGTTCAGGTGGTCTAAAGCAGTGTTTCTCAACCAGTGATATGGACTTGAGGAGTCTGGGGGGTAGGGTACATCAACACAACTGAAATTTGAAGAAAACTGAATTTTTGGTTTATGTTTTACAGTGCTTTATTATTTTTGTACTTTTCACACCTAAAAATTTCATCTTCTGCCCAGCTACGATTAAGTTGTTTAAACAAATGTGTTGCAATGGTAGAAAAAAAATTGTCTGAAAACTAGGTACTTCAAAAATATTTTTTAAAGGGGGACTTCTAATTTTTTTTTTTTTTTGAAGAAAGGATACTTTAAAAAAAGTTTGAGAAACACTGTTCTAAAGCCTTATATTCCATATGAGTCCCAAAGTACTTGAAAAATTATACAACATTTATTTCAGTCATCACTTGAAGTTTGTCACATCTGTGGGAAAATATATCTGTTTAACAGACCTCAGCTACACAAGGAGTGTAGGGCAGAAAACAAAGTCCAATAAATCCTGTTGACATTTCAGGAATAAATTAGGAAGGCGGAGTTTAACTTACCATATTAATTTATTTTGAACTTCTAAGACTGTCAGAGTATCTTAGAGACAACAGTAAATTAAGACTTCCATTGTGTGGAATTGATAGCACTACTTCTTGGAGGAAAATCTGAGTACGGAGCAGAATGGACCCTCCTTAGGTACAGTTCCAGCAACATAAACTTCTAGTTGCAGTGTGTTTTGATTTGGAGTTTTCTGTTTCTCATCTTCAGTATACATCCTGGTTGGCATCCGGTTTCAACCTAAATGAATACGGTTCTAAAAAATTCAGTGGTTAGTTAAAAAGTTGGCGCCATTTTGTATAGTGATGAAGGAAGGCTCTTTCAACCTTTCAGTGTAAAAGGCAGCGCACATTAGGGATGTTAAGTAGATGTTAACTAGCTGATCAAGTAGTCGAACCCCACTCCCAACACCATCTCCTTTTCCCCTCCCTTTGCTGTCCCTGGTACAGAGGACTCAAGAGGTGGGGGAAGTTAGTAGTTGAGTAGTGACACAGCTACCTGATAAGATCAGGTAGTCGACTACTGAAGTAGTTGCTTACATCCCTAGCACGCATGTCTGTAGGCAACGTTCTAAAGTTGCACTTTGTTAATGTGTCATAATGACAAATTACATATTAATTTTTCTGGACATATGCTGTACTTCCAAACATGCTTAAAAAGGTTATTACATTTTACAACCATGATGAAATTACATGATGAAATTGCAAGGATTCTGGATTCTATGGAGTGGAAATACAGACAGCTACAAGTTAAAGTTGCCCCACAATTTAGCAAAATTTATTGTAGAATTCTTTCATCTCTGAAGTGGAACAGAAATACAAGATCCCATTGTAAAATTCAAGTTTGCATTTATCCAACAACTAACTTATGAAATTGAATTGGCTGGAAAAATGCTAAATTCAATAAAATTGGGATTGAACATTGATTTGTATAAATTAAAACCATGTTTATTTCCTTTTAAGACTTCCTTTTAATCAATTTATAAATGTATAAACTATTGCAAATGCTTACAATACTTATTTTTCTAAAAAATGAGTGTAGTATGAAGCAGCAAAAATTTTGTCAGAAGAAATTACCTGCTTTATTTAGAATTTATGAAGCTTTGGCAACAGTTAGTGTGTTAACACCACTCTTCAGTATTGCAGTTGAGGGAGGAGCAAGAAGCTGACATGTGGAGGAGGTTGTGGGAAGAAGAGAAGAAGAATCTCTGCTGTAGTTCAAAAACCTGATTTTTTTTTAAAAGCTTTGACTAACATTTTTTAGTAAACCTGCAGCTTTAGTTGGACACTTCTTTTGGTTTAAACCAAAACCCAGAAATCTTGTAAACCCAGAAAATAATCTGTACTGAATTACGCTGTAACTTGAGGACATAGTACTTCAGAATATAGTATTTCATGGCAATTCGGTGATGTAACTGTATACATTGTATATAGGTTTTATAGTCCAGTTGTGAATTCTCTTGTTAGTGAAAAGTGTTGTCTATGCACCTTCTATAGCATTTAGGGATGTCAGCGTGTGGTCAACTATACAATTAATCGATAAGCGAAAGCTTATCGTTTAATCTTTTTGACTGCACACATTTCCCCTCCCCCCCCCAGCCTCTGTATCAGAGACAGTAGAGGGTTGGGAAACAGAACGGCTTAAAAGCCAGTTCCCCCTAACACTGGCTCCACAGTGCCATCTGCCACGAAAGGCAGCAGCATGGGGAGGAGGAGGCTGCCACAAAGCAGCATCTGTTCGCAGCAGGCCTGAACTACCTGCAGACAGAGACTGCTCCATCTCCCATGGAGCAACTTCTATTGTGGGGAGGGGTCTGAGCTCTCTCTGGACTGAGGCTGGCCTCTGTCTGTGGGGAGCTCGGACCTCTGTTGACAGGGACTGCTGCTACCTTGGGCAGCAGGCAGCCAGTCTGCGCGGGGAGCTGTTTTTTAAACTGGCTACCCTTATGGACTGGCTTCTGCCTGTCACTCTGGGGTGATAAGGGGCTTCCTGGGAGTGGGGCTGGAGCGTACTGGCTTCTGATCTGCCCCGGGGGACTATCTAATAGTGAGAAACTGACAAGAATTCATGTGGTATTAAAGAATTAGAAATTGGTGGTAGCTAGTTTTTGCAATTACCCTCTTCCATCAGCCTTATGCAGATTCCCTCATCATTCTCTTTAAAACTTTGTCAAATTTACGAATTTGTCAAATAAAATATGTTGAAGTCAATGATTATTTTGTTTCTTTTATTGTCTCTTTTTAACTGGTTTGTTTTCAATTATAATAATACACAAAAATACAATCTTATGGCTACTAAAGGAAAACAATGAGAATTTTAAATATAAAGGTTGAATTCAAACATTAAATACAATCTTGTTCAATATTTATTTTAAAATAAATGTAAATCATTAAGAATCTAAATTTATTAAGTTCTCTTTTTTCCCTGTTTTTAATTTTTAGTTGACTTGCCATCGCTTTTCTCTTTAACTGTGCTGCGATTGTACAAAATATTTGTATTATGGACTTTTTACATTAAATTTTGAATTCCATTTAACATCTGTAAAGAAGAAAATGAACACTACTATCCCAAATAATAAACATTATAATAAGAGATCTACCCTCCACTTGTCCCTGAATGACTAACATTTCCATGCCTCAAAAGACTTAATTTTATAATATTAAGGGTTCTGAATGACCTAATTTGAAAATATTTGGAGTTTAATCAGAAATCTGTGTAAGGGTTATGCAATTTGTATTGGTTTTTAAAATTAGGTTATAATCAAGCTTATGTTTAGCACAAGTATCAGAAGATGACCCATCTTAATAAGCACATGGGCTATTAAAGATGCATGTGGAATCATAATGATCTGAAATTATATAGTATTACTTTAAAAGAACACTAGCCCGTCCATTAATCCATTATGGGCGAAGTTGTTTGCATAGCCAGTGTGCATTTGTTACCTTTACTGGTGTCTTGTAATTCCATTGTTCATAGCCATTTTATAACCTTTTGCTCTCTTTTAAAGCTGTGGGTGTTCATTTTGCTCAATTTTTTAAAATGTTTTTCTTTCCCTCACACAATTGGGGAAATCTAAAAGATTCCCTTTATTCTGATTAAAAATAAAAATGTTTTTGATGCTGCTTTTATATCATTTGCTTCCTAACTAGCACATTGTGACATTAATCTTGAAAAAACTCAGAAAGGGACTTTATGTTCCATTTGTAGTCTTACTGAAGTGAATAGGCCTATTTACTGTGTATAAGGTTATGAACATTTGTAAGTCTTTGCAGGATCAGGGCCTAAAGTTGCATCATAGATCAGGTTTTCCTGAGTCCTGTATCCTTTAACTCAGTGGTCACCAACTGGTCTATCACAGCACCACTAGGAGTTGATTGCCTTGGCCAGCTGGCCAGGCCGCTGCCTCTCTTTGATCCAGCCAAGCTGGAGCATGGTGCAACCTTGGGAGGCTGAACACTGCAGCCAGCTGGGCCGGAGCAAAGAGGGCCAGCCGCTTAGTCAACTGGCCGCAGGTTCAACCTACTGAGGCTGTGTTACGCTCTAGCTAAACTGGATCAAAGGGGGATGGCTGCCCCTCTTTGTTATCTTGCTGGCTGGGGGGGAAGGAAGAGGCATGCATGCACATACACACGTGCGTCCCTGGCTCTTGTTTCCTGGTCCAGGAGGCAGCGGAGTTGAGCCAGCTGCTCAGAGCCAGGGTTGGCCAACCGGCACACGTGGCGTGCCGGGCACCAGGCTAAGCTATGCTGTTGTTCCCCACAGGCTGTGTGCAGTGTTGGAAAGCCCCTTTCCCAGCACTGTGCTGTGCCTGGCTGTGCTGGAGCCAGCCTTGGGCAGCCCCGGGCTCTGCCTATGCCTGCCCCATCCCCAGAGCTGCTGCTTGTAGGCAAAGGGCTGGGCCAAGCAGGGAAGAGACTCTGCCTTCTCCCCACCGTAGGTCTCCTCGCTCCAGCGCTGCTCCCAGGAGGCTTTAAGTCCCAGCACTGCTGCCCTGCCAGTGAGTGCCCTGGGGGCACAGAGTTGTGGTTGCAGGATGGAAGGGGGCAGGGGTTGCACTGAGGGGCATGGAGCAATGCAGGGGATCAGATAGGGGGGAATCATGGGGCTGAGGGGAGTGAGGCTGGAGTAGAATCATAGAATACTAGGACTGGAAGGGACCTCGAGAGGTCATCAAATCTAGTCCTCTGACCTCATGGCAGGACCCAGTATTGTCTAGACCATCCCTGATAGACATCTATCTAACCTACTCTTAAATATGAGATGGAGAGTCCATAACCTCCCTGTGCAATTTATTCCAATGTTTAATCACCCTGACAGGAACTTTTTCCTAATGTCCAACCTAAACCTCCCTTGCTGCAGTTTAAGCCCATTGCTTCTTGTTCTATCCTCAGAGGCCAGAAAGAACAATTTTTCTCCCTCCTTCTTGTGACACCATTTTAGATACCAGAAAATCGCTGTCATGTCCCTTCTCAATCTTCTCTTTTCCAAACTAAACAATCCCAATTCTTTCAGTCTTTTTTTCATAGGTCATGTTCTCTAGACCTTTCATCATTCTTGTTGCTCTTCTCTGGACCTTTTTCAATTTCTCCATCTTCCTTGAAATGTGGTGCAGAACTGGACACAATAATGCAACTGAGGCCTAATCCGTGCAGAGTAGAGTGGGGAAAAATGACTTCTCGTGTCTTGCTCATAACACACCTGTTAAAGCATCCTATAATAATGTTTGCTTTTTTTTTGGCAACAGCATCACACTGTTGACTCATATTTAGCTTGTGGTCCACTATAACCCCTATATTCCTTTCTGCTGTACTCCTTCCTAGCCAGTTGCTTCCCATTCTGTGTGTGCTAAACTGATTTTCCCTTCCTTAAGTGGAGCACTTTTCATTTGTACTTATTAAACTTTATCCTGTTTATCTGAGACCATTTCTCCAATTTGTCCAGATCATTTTGAGTTATGACCTTATCCTCCAAAGCAGTTGCAGCCTCTCCCAGCTTGGTATCATCTGCAAACATAATAAGCATACTTTCTATGCCGATATCTAAATTGTTGATGAAGATATTGAACAGAACCGGTCCCAAAACAGACCCCTGCGGAGCCTCACCTATTATACCTTTCCAGCAGGATTGTGAACCGTTAATAACTACTCTCTGAAAACGGT